GTGTGTGTGTGTGTATATATTAGTGTGTGTGTGTGTATATATTAGTGTGTGTGTGTATATATTAGTGTGTGTGTGTGTGTGTATATATTAGTGTGTGTGTGTGTATATATTAGTGTGTGTGTGTGTGTGTGTATATATATATTAGTGTGTGTGTGTGTGTGTGTGTATATATATATATTAGTGTGTGTGTGTGTATATGTCTTCATCGTTTAGGTAATAAGCAATATAGTGGATTCTTCTCATTTAGTCCGTGAGGAGATAGCATATTTAGGGTTGAATCCAGAACGCCTCTCTATTTCCTCGTCTTGTAGGTTCAGGGACTTGGTCTGTGCCCAGCTTCCAGGAAGTGTCGGGTTACCGGAGTATTTGCACAATTGTTTTGAATAGCTAAACGTATGGCAGATCTGTGGCCTCTCATTCTCTCCCTTAGATCGTTTGATGTCTTGTCCACAGGGGGACGCAATCTGATATGACAAATGTTGTGGTGCATCCTGTACCTGATCTTGAATGGGAGAACTCCTTCCCCGGTATCACAAAGTTGCAAGCAATACACTTGAGGCATCTATAACATCCTAAGTTAGCACTTTCAGATTGTTGCTGCATCTTAGTGAAATGGTCGGTGTGAACCAGGTAATTCCTTAAACTCTTCCCTCTTCTGTAATTCATAATTGGGATTTGTTTAAACAAATGTGATAAGGAATCATCCTTCTTAAGTGTCGCCCCATTTTCCACGAATAATAGAGGCAATATGGGATGGTTTGGTGTGTAGTGCCTGTGGGAAGATCAATCGATTACCTATCTCTGTTCTCTTCGGTTGATCTGTTAGCGATTTTATGACAGTTCCAATGCACGATTCTACATGAGTTTTGTGTATCCCCTTTCCAGAAATCCAGAAATTTCTGATGCATCTCTTCCAATTGGTTGGTTGCCAGTATAGGGTCAGAACTATTTCGCATCACTCTCAAGAATTGAGGGATGGGTAGGGATTCTTTTAATTTTGGGGGGTGAAAACTAGATGCATGTAAGATAGTGTTTCTGTCAATGTTCTTGGAGTATAATGTATACCCCAATTTGTTAGCCTTGATGAAAATTAGAAGATCCAGAAAGTCAATTTGTGTCTTGCTAAATTGGAACGTGAATTTAACCGGAGAATTCAACATGTTAAGTGACGTCATCATCTCCACGAATGATGGTTCATCTCTTTTCCATAAGTTCAGGATATCGTCTATAAAATGAAGATATTTAATAATACGTTCACCATATTGGTTTAAGATATTCTTCTCAAATAAGTACATATAGATTAATCACATTGATGTTTTTTGTAATGAGACATGTCATGGATGACATCACTCAATCTTGTTTTTATTTTATACCCTCCAATATTTTTGTAGCAATTCATATTTAAATAACATGTTTTTCACGGTTTAATTGTCTTGATAAAAGTCCAGTGGGACTGAAACGTCGACACTGTATCCAAGGATTTGATGCTAAAATAAAAAGCACTATTTGAAATACATTTTGAGTGCTCTCCAGCAAGATATTGTGTGTGTATGTATATCTATGTATATACCAGAAAGTTGGAGTGCGATAGGAACTGCACTCGAGTCTAGATCTTCTGAGTACTCTGAAAAAATATACAGTATATAGTATACTGTATATTTTTTCAGAGAAGATCCTGACTCCAGTGCAGTTGCTAGCGCACTCCAACTTTCTGGTATCTATTGCTAATTTGTGTCACTGTGTGTCACTTGGGGGTAGTGCAGCAGCACTGCAGGTATTCTTAAGCGCTTTGACTCCATCTGGTTTTTCTGTGGCTGGAAAAGTATTTGAAAGGTTATTAAGGGATAATATTCAAGAATTCCTGGAGAAGAACATGGTTTTATGAAGCACAGGTCATGTCAAGCTAACTTGATTGCATTCTGCGAAGAAGTAGAAGTATAGATCAGGGTGTTGCAGTGGATGTGATCGACTTGGGTTTTGCCAAGGCATTTGATACGGTTCCTCAGAATAGATTAGTGTTCAAACTCAAGGAAATCGGTCTAGATGGAAATGGGTAGAACATTGGCTTAAAACAGAGACAAAGAGTTGTCATTAATGGTAAATGTTCAAGCTGGACAGAGGTGGTAATTGGTGTCCCTCAGGGTTCCGTTCTAGGACCCCTTCTATTTAACATGTTTATAAATGATCTTGAGAAAAGCATTGAAAGTCATGTTTCAGTGTTTGCAGAGGACACCAAACTTTGTAAAACAATACAATGTGAGCAAGATATTACTTTGCTGCAGAGGGATTTAGATAGACTGGGGAGACGGCTGTGGAGATTTTGGCAAAGTTTGTTCTCCACATATGTATGTAATCCGCAGCGGTTGGATTCCCCGACTTTCCTGAAATGTGTGCCTGCCGGCAGCTCTCTAATTAGGCGATTTTAGGCGGCCGCATAAGGCCTCGCGCTTGCTGGGGCTTCGCGCCCGCCTAAATCACTGTAGGGCAGGCTGAACTGTTGGATCTTCGGTCTATGACCGAGGACCAGACAGTGAGAGGGGGGCCCGGCGGCTTGCCCAGCATGCTGCCGGGTGGCCCCTCCACATGGTCTGCTCACAGAGAGAGCCAGCCTCTGATCTGCAGCTCCGCCGAGTGCAGAGCTGCAGATCACATAAGGTTCTCGCGAGCTCACAGAGCGTTGCTGCGGGTTACCACGGCAACGCTCTGATAGGCGCTCGTGAGAACACGGTCTGCAGCTTTCGCGGAGCTGCAGACAGAATAGTCATCCCACCGGACCACCAGGGACTTCAACCACTGGACCACCAGGGAATTACATTTCAACAAAAAAGTATTTCAGTGTGTGGAGGCTTGTCACTGTCTCCAACACTGCCCTCCCACCATCACTGCCCACTCAAATACACTGCCCTCCCACCCTCACTGTCCACTCAAATACACTGCCCTCCCACCCTCACTGTCCACTCAAACACACTGCCCCCACACTAACCACCACAGATACTGTACCCCACCCTGACCCTCACATAAACTGCCCTCCACACTAACCACCACAGATACTGTACCCCACCCTGACCACCACATACACTGCCCTCCACACTAACATCACACTGACCCCCACGTACCCTGACCCCCACACAGTTTCTCACACAAAATGCCCCCACTGTCCCACACTCTGCCCCCCTACAGTTTCATACACCCTGCCCCCCTACACTGTCATACGCACTGCCCTCTCTACACTGTGTCCCACACACCCTGTCCCACACACCCTGTCCCCACCCTGTCCCACACACCCTGTCCCACACACCTGTCCCACCACCTGTCCACACACCCTGTCCCACACACCCTGTCCCACACACCCTGTCCACACACCTGTCCCACACACCCTGTCCCCCCACATGTCCCCCACACTGTCCCCCACACTGTCCCCCCACACTGTCCCCCCCCACACTGTCCCCCCACACTGTCCCCCCACACTGTCCCCCCACACTGTCCCCCCACACTGTCCCCCATCCTGCCCAGACATGCCACACTCACCCTGTCACATAACCCTCCCTCATCCTGTCACTCATCCTGCCCAGCCATGCCACACTCACCCTGTCACATAAGCCTCCCTCATCCTGTCACTCATCCTGCCCAGCCATGACACACTCACCCTGTCACATAAGCCTCCCTCATCCTGTCACTCACCTCCCCTCGCCCTGTCACACTTTCCCCTTCAACCGTGCCACACTCACCCCAACAGTGAATACAGAGACTAGCTCTCTGTATCCAGCGCTGCAAGCCTGTCGTACAATATAACTACAGCTCATTATACACACGATGCAACCCATATATGTTTTTTTACTATGAGTGTTAGTGGGGGGCCTCTTGTTTGAGTTTCGCCTAAGGCCTCATAAAGGTTTGATTTGTGTTTACAGGAGCCTCTCGCTAGGCGGCTTGCTCGCTCGCAGGTTCTCTCGCATCAAATGCGTCCGGGATTGTAAAGTACAGTATATACTCGAGTATAAGTCTAGTTTTTCAGCACATTTTTTGTGCTTAAAAACCCCCACTCGACTTATACTCGAGTCACTGTCTGTATTATGGCAACTTAGAGAGCCGCGGCTGTCAGAGCCATGGCAACGATCCGCGCGGCAACCAGACCGCGAGACTTACAGTGGAGCTGACCGGAACGGAGGAGAAGGGAGCTGACAGGAGCTGCAGGAAATGTAAGTAAATGCTTCCTGCCGGCCCCCCCACTTCACAGCCCTTGCCACTGGACCACCAGGGATTAAGATATCCCCCCTCCCTGACCAGTTAACAAGCAGGGAGGGGGGACAAAAAAAAATTAAAATAAAAAAATAATAATATTAAAAAAAAAATAAATAATAAAAATGCCCTCCCCCACCTAGTTCACACACACTACACAAACACACACTCTGCATTATATACACACTCTGCATTATATACACAGAGTGTGTGTGTATAATGCAGAGTGTGTGTTTGTATGAGTGTGTGTGTATATAATGCAGATTGTTTGTATGAGTGTGTGTATATATAATGCAGAGTGTTTGTTTGTATGAGTGTATGTGTATATAATTATAAAAATCACAGAATTTCATAGCCCCAAGTTTTACCCTCGACTTATCCACGAGGCATAGCATATTTCACAATTGTTGGTCACAAAACTGCACTCGACTTATACATGAGATCGACTTATACACGAGTATATACGGTAATAAAATGTGAGCAGGATATTGCTTTGCTGCAGAGGGATTTGGATAAATTGGGGGACTGGGCACTAAAATGGCAGAAGAAATTTAATGTAGAGAAATGCAAAGTTATGAACTTTGGGGTAAAGAATACACAAGCAACGTATAACCTTAATGGAAGCGAATTCGGGATAACAACACACGAAAAGGATTTGGGAATTGTTATAGACAACAAACTATGCAACAATGTGCAAGAGATTCAGTCTTTGTGTGAATGTATCAGGCTCAGCCTGAATGTCCTGGTAAGAGATTCAGTCTTTGTGTGAATGTATCAGGCTCGGCCTGAATGTCCTGGTAAGAGATTCAGTCTTTGTGTGAATGTATCAGGCTCAGCCTGAATGTCCTGGTAAGAGATTCAGTCTTTGTGTGAATGTATCAGGCTCAGCCTGAATGTCCTGGTAAGAGATTCAGTCTTTGTGTGAATGTATCAGGCCTGGCCTGAATGTCCTGGTAAGAGATTCAGTCTTTGTGTGAATGTATCAGGCTCGGCCTGAATGTCCTGGTAAGAGATTCAGTCTTTGTGTGAATGTATCAGGCTCAGCCTGAATGTCCTGGTAAGAGATTAAGTCTTTGTGTGAATGTATCAGGCTCGGCCTGAATGTCCTGGTAAGAGATTCAGTCTTTGTGTGAATGTATCAGGCTCGGCCTGAATGTCCTGGTAAGAGATTCAGTCTTTGTGTGAATGTATCAGGCTCAGCCTGAATGTCCTGGTAAGAGATTCAGTCTTTGTGTGAATGTATCAGGCCTGGCCTGAATGTCCTGGTAAGAGATTCAGTCTTTGTGTGAATGTATCAGGCTCGGCCTGAATGTCCTGGTAAGAGATTCAGTCTTTGTGTGAATGTATCAGGCTCAGCCTGAATGTCCTGGTAAGAGATTCAGTTCTCGTGAATGGGGAACAGGCTCGCCTGAATGTCCTGGGGTGCGAGCCCAGTCTTTGTGTGAATGTATCAGGCTCGCCTGAAATGTCTGCAAGAGATTCAGTCTTTGTGTGAATAAATGACCAGGCTCAGCCTGGAATAAGCAAGTCCTGGTGGTAAGAGATTCAGTCTTTGTGTGATCGGGATTGTGGCTCAGCCTGGACGTCCTGTAAGAGATTCAGTCTTTGTGTGAATGTATCAGGCTCGGCCTGAATGTCCTGGTAAGAGATTCAGTCTTTGTGTGAATGTATCAGGCTCGGCCTGAATGTCCTGGTAAGAGATTCAGTCTTTGTGTGAATGTATCAGGCTCGGCCTGAATGTCCTGGTAAGAGATTCAGTCTTTGTGTGAATGTATCAGGCTCAGCCTGAATGTCCTGGTAAGAGATTCAGTCTTTGTGTGAATGTATCAGGCTTGGCCTGAATGTCCTGGTAAGAGATTCAGTCTTTGTGTGAATGTATCAGGCTCGGCCTGAATGTCCTGGTAAGAGATTCAGTCTTTGTGTGAATGTATCAGGCTCAGCCTGAATGTCCTGGTAAGAGATTCAGTCTTTGTGTGAATGTATCAGGCTCAGCCTGAATGTCCTGGTAAGAGATTCAGTCTTTTCATTTGAAGATCTTTGTATAATTTTCTAAAAGATGTTTACCATCAGTGTATTCCTGAAATGTTCTATTCTTTATTTTTATCATTTTTTTTTTTTTTTCTGTTTTCAGGACTGGAGTTACCCAATGAGAAGGGAGATGCAGGTATGTCTGTATGTGAGTTTAGTTTGGCTGAGAGGGCTCTTCGGCAAGTAATGGCCTTTTCATTAAAATGAAATATCTTTAACGCATGTTAATAAATTTTGTGCCTTATCATTTTTGTGAGGAAATACGACTTTATTCCCACACAATTGGAGTGCTCTTGTACACAATACTATTTACCGTTGTATTGGTGCTTAGAATGACCCATATGTATTTCATGATAGGTTCCTCTTAAAAGGAACTCTAAGGCAAGCTGCAAAATATTAAAATCTTCTGCGTGTGTCCACCAGCGCAGGGCGAGGCTGTGAGATCTACGCTAGACAGCTGTTACAACACAGAATTCTAACGTTTCTGTGTATGTGGGAGTTTACACACTCAGTCAGTATTGCTCCCACATGACATTATCTTAGTCCGATAGTCATTCCCCTGTAATGCCCAGTGTCTCCCTACGTTACATACTGTCATTCCCCTGTAATGCCCAGTGTCTCCCTATGATTGGCATTGTTACATACTGTCATTCCCCTGTAATGCCCAGTGTCTCCCTATGATTGGCATTGTTACATACTGTCATTCCCCTGTAATGCCCAGTGTCTCCCTATGATTGGCATTGTTACATACTGTCATTCCCCTGTAATGCCCAGTGTCTCCCTATGATTGGCATTGTTACATACTGTCATTCCCCTGTAATGCCCAGTGTCTCCCTATGATTGGCATTGTTATATACTGTCATTCCCCCGTAATGCCCAGTGTCTCTCTATGATTGGCATTGTTACATAGTGTCATTCCCCTGTAATGCCCAGTGTCTCCCTATGACTGGCATTGTTAAATACTGTCATTCCCTGTAATGCCCACTGTCTCTCTATGATTGGCATTGTTACATACTGTCATTCCCCTGTAATGCCCAGTGTCTTCCTATGATTGGCATTGTTACATACTGTCATTCCCCTGTAATGCCCAGTGTCTCCCTATGATTGGCATTGTTACATACTGTCATTCCCCTGTAATGCCCAGTCTCACTATGATTGGCATTGTTACATAGTGTCATTCCTAGAAAGTACTTAGTGTCTCCTATATGATTGGCATTGTCACATACTGTCATTCCCCTGTAATACCCAGTGTCTCCCTATGATTTGGCATTTATTTACATACTGTCATTCTCCTGTAATGCCAGGTGTCTCCTATGATTGGCATTGTTACATACTGTCATTCTCCTGTAATGCCCAGTGTCTCCCTATGATTGGCATTGTTACATACTGTCATTCTCCTGTAATGCCCAGTGTCTCCCTATGATTGGCATTGTTACATACTGTAATTCCCCTGTAATGCCCAGTGTCTCCCTATGATTGGCATTGTTACATACTGTCATTCCCCTGTAATGCCCAGTGTCTCCCTATGATTGGCATTGTTACATACTGTCATTCCCCTGTAATGCCCAGTGTCTCCCTATGATTGGCATTGTTACATACTGTCATTCCCCTGTAATGCCCAGTGTCTCACTATGATTGGCATTGTTACATACTGTCATTCCCCTGTAATGCCCAGTGTCTCCCTATGATTGGCATAGTTACATACTGTCATTCCCCTGTAATGCCCAGTGTCTCCCTATGATTGGCATAGTTACATACTGTCATTCCCCTGTAATGCCCAGTGTCTCCCTATGATTGGCATTGTTACATACTGTCATTCTCCTGTAATGCCCAGTGTCTCCCTATGATTGGCATTGTTACATACTGTCATTCCCCTGTAATGCCCAGTGTCTCCCTATGATTGGCATTGTTACATACTGTCATTCCCCTGTAATGCCCAGTGTCTCCCTATGATTGGCATTGTTACATACTGTCATTCCCCTGTAATGCCCAGTGTGTTCCTTGTTCTCGAGGATTGTAGGACTCTTTACGTCTGTTTATACTCCTTATGTTCTCTAACTTTTTAATTTATTTGTTTTAAAGGAAATTTTACCAGGCTTGTATCTGGGTCCATATTCAGCAGCAATGAAAAGCAAGGTATGTAAAAAAGCAGGTAGAACCATTATTTCCGTAGGTGTGTGTGGATGCAGACTGGTTGGTGACTGGTTGAGGAGCCTTGCGGACTCCGTGTGTGTTTCAAATAACATGTTCACCAGTATTTATTTAATTTCTTTACAGCTCTCAATACTTCAGAAGTATGGCATAACGCACATAATCTGTATAAGGCAGAATATTGAAGCTAATTTTATTAAACCAAACTTTCAGCAATTATTTCGGTAAGTTATTTAATAATGCATTAAAAGTATGACTTTAAGGGGCTTAAACTGATTAACTTTACAGTGCACAAAATTTCCACTTAGTGTTATGTGGCCATTTGTCCGTGATGCGTCATGGGAGGAGGAAATCTCGATTGACAGTGATGGCTGAACTCGCATTGTTTGAGTGTGTGGGGACCCTGTTATCAAGCCGGGAGTGCGTGTGTGGGCGCGCGGCTGTCTCCCTGGGAGTGCGTGTGTGGGCGCGCGGCTGTCTCCCTGGGAGTGCGTGTGTGGGCGCGCGGCTGTCTCCCTGGGAGTGCGTGTGTGGGCGCGCGGCTGTCTCCCTGGGAGTGCGTGTGTGGGCGCGCGGCTGTCTCGCTGGGAGTGCGTGTGTGGGCGCGCGGCTGTCTCGCTGGGAGTGCGTGTGTGGGCGCGCGGCTGTCTCGCTGGGAGTGCGTGTGTGGGCGCGCGGCTGTCTCGCTGGAAGTGCTGGGAGTTGGTGTCCTAGCACAGTCTGTATGGATTGCAGAATGGAGAGAGCTGATCTCCTATGTATCACTAATGGTGCTGTACGTCTCTTCACAGCTATTTAGTGCTGGATATAGCGGATAATCCCATAGAGAATATTATCCGTTTTTTCCCCATGGTGAGTATATATTGGACACGCTGTAAGTCACACTTGGTTATATCTCTGTTATTGCATTATTTATTTCCAGCATTGAGGCACTGTTTCACCCTGTTATTCAGAACTGATCTACCCAAATCAGAAATCTAAAGCGGGCTATGGTGAAATTGGGTTATAGTTGATGTAACGGAGCTTCCTGTACCCCAGTTGGGTACCTCCGCCGAAAGATGCTCCTAGTGCTTCTCGAGGCCCCCAAGCACTCTACCAGACACCATAAGCACGGCAGACCCCACAACCGCCGCAGCTTGGTTGGGGTCTCGCCGTCTTCTACCCACCCTGGACCTACGACAAGGCTCCAAGTTCCAGTGGGTGAACCTCTCTTCCTCCAGATTGTCAAGCAGGAATAGCTGTGATTATAGCAATCCCTTGTAGTGATATAGCGGTTCCCTACAATAAGAGACAGAACTCAGTATTGTGGGTGAAGAAGTCTGAGGTTTTATGGAGCTACACTGCCTTTTATGCAGGTTTCCCAACAGTGATACCCAGGTGGACCATGTTGGGCACAGGGACACAAAGTGTACAAAACAATGAATGACACTCCCACATACAGTACACAATCCCTCCCCTATGCCTGTGATATAATTAAGGCAGATAATGCCTTAACCTAGATCTCCCCAGGTAGAAAAAAAATCTAATATTTACAAAGTCCCATAAGTACCCCAAAATATAGTCACATCCCCTGATAGCCCTGATCAGGGTGAACAACATATCCAAAAATCACCCAGATCAGAGCAGGAGTTCAAAAGATAGCTGGAAGTCTCTTTTTGACCAACCGCACGCAAGGCTTCATGCCCAAAACCGTTCCAAAGAATTAGGCTGTGCGGCCGGTCTAGTTCGGTAGTTTGCAAACGAACAAACTTCTGAACCTCGTCAATAGTCTTACCCTGGAGCTTGTTCGTTTCTATTCAGCTTGCAAGAGCACTGTTCGGTGAGATCATTTGTCTGGATAGACAAATGATCTCACCGAACAGTGCTCTTGCAAGCTGAATAGAAACGAACGCAGGCGATGATGGAAGTCCAGCGGTGTTCGGGAGTTTCTGTAACAGATTTCAGTTTCATGATATTCATGCTCAAACACCGCTGCCTGCGTCCATGCGGACAAGATGGCCGCCACCTCGTGGTTGTTCATAGGAATAGCGGCCACCCAGACGAACAATTAGAACACTGCGGTGAGAAACATTCCAAGTTGTTAATAGGTGTTAACAAGCTCCAGGGTGGTCAGAGCCTGTTTGAAGTATTTTAGCCAGGTCTATTGCAGGGGCCATAGTGACAGGGTAAGAGGATGGCAAACAGGCCCCTCCAAAAACCAGTGACGAGGTAACTTTTGCCACAGTTGGAAACACTATGTACATTGCCTGTATTCAACAAATTAAATATTTATATGCATAACTTTCAGCTGTTTGCAATGAACAAATCAAACAAAAGCAATTGATATAGTTAAACACAACGAATGCTTCAACTACTTTCCCACAAATTCAACTGAAAATGCAACTGACTTCTCCAGTCTCATAATTATTCAACCCCTTGACTAGAACCCACAAATATGCCAAACAGGTGTTATCACAATCACACCTGGTAGAACTAATTATTATTATTATTTATATAGCGCCAACAAATTCCGTAGCGCTGTACAATGGGTGGACTAACAGACACATAATTGAGATCAAACCACTGGACGTACAGGAACAGAGGGGATTGAGGGCCTGCTCAGTGAGTTTACATGTTAGAGGGAGTGGGGTATAGTGACACAGTAACAGAGGGATTGAGGGCCCCCTGCTCAGTGAGTTTACATGTTAGAGGTAGTGGGGTATAGTGACACAGTAACAGAGGGATTGAGGGCCTGCTCAGTGAGTTTACATGTTAGAGGGAGTGGGGTATAGTGACACAGTAACAGAGGGATTGAGGGCCTGCTCAGTGAGTTTACATGTTAGAGGGAGTGGGGTATAGTGACACAGTAACAGAGGGATTGAGGGTCCTGCTCAGTGAGTTTACATGCTAGAGGGAGTGGGGTATAGTGACACAGTACAGAGGGATTGAGGGCCTGCTCAGTGAGTTTACATGCTAGAGGGAGTGGGGTATAGTGACACAGTAACAGAGGGATTGAGGGCCTGCTCAGTGAGTTTACATGTTAGAGGGAGTGGGGTATAGTGACACCGTAACAGAGGGATAGAGGGCCCTGCTCAGTGAGTTTATATGTTAGAGGGAGTGGGGTATAGTGACAGTAACAGAGGGATTGAGGGCCTGCTCAGTGAGTTTACATGTTAGAAGGAGTGGGGTATAGTGACACAGTAACAGAGGGATTGAGGGCCTGCTCAGTGAGTTTACATGTTAGAGGGAGTGGGGTATAGTGACACAGTAACAGAGGGATTGAGGGGCCTGCTCAGTGAGTTTACATGTTAGAGGGAGTGGGGTATAGTGACACAGTAACAGAGGGATTGAGGGCCCTGCTCAGTGAGTTTACATGTTAGAGGGAGTGGGGTATAGTGGCACAGTAACAGAGGGATTGAGGCCCTGCTCAGTGAGCTTATATGCTAGAGGAAGTGGGGTATAGTGACACAGTAACAGAGGGATTGAGGGCCCTGCTCAGTGAGTTTACATGTTAGAGGGAGTGGGGTATAGTGACACAGTAACAGAGGGATTGAGGCCCTGCTCAGTGAGTTTGCATGTTAGAGGGAGTGGGGTATAGTGACACAGTAACAGAGGGATTGAGGGCCCTGCTCAGTGAGTTTACATGTTAGAGGGAGTGGGGTATAGTGACACAGTAACAGAGGGATTGAGGGCCCGCTCAGTGAGTTTACATGTTAGAGGGAGTGGGGTATAGTGACACAGTAACAGAGGGATTTAGGGCCCTGCTCAGTGAGTTTACATGTTAGAGGGAGTGGGGTATAGTGACACAGTAACAGAGGGATTGAGGGCCCTGCTCAGTGAGTTTACATGTTAGAGGGAGTGGGGTATGGTGACACAGTAACAGAGGGATTGAGGCCCTGCTCAGTGAGTTTACATGTTAGAGGGAGTGGGGTATAGTGACACAGTAACAGAGGGATTGAGGGCCTGCTCAGTGAGCTTACATGTTAGAGGGAGTGGGGTATAGTGACACAGCAACAGAGGGATTGAGGGCCTGCTCAGTGAGTTTACATGTTAGAGGGAGTGGGGTATAGTGACACAGCAACAGAGGGATTGAGGGCCTGCTCAGTGAGTTTACATACTAGAGGGAGTGGGGTATAGTGACAGTAACAGAGGGATTGAGGGCCCTGCTCGATGAGCTTACATGCTAGATGGAGTGGGGTATAGTGACACAAAGGGTTAAAGTAGGGGAATTACATAGTTTGTTAGAGAAGGGTTTATTGAGTGCTTGGTAGGTCATTTTTGACAGTTGCAGGAAAGTCATGGGGTGGGGGATGAGAAACCTGCTGACAGTTTAATTGATACGCTTTAATGAAGAAGTGAGTTTTCAAAGATTTTTTGAAGGAATGGAGGCTGGGTGAAAGTCTGATTGAGGAGGGAAGGGAGTTCCACAGAATAGGTGCAGCCCTGGTGAAGTCTTGAAGGCGAGCATCAGAGGTGGGGATCCGAGCAGAGGATAGGAGTAGATCTTGGGCTGAGCGCAGGGGTCTCGTCGGGACATACTTGTGTATGAGGGAAGATAGGTATGTTGGAGCAGCATTATGTAGGGATTTGTAAGCAAGCGCCAGAATTTTGAATTGGGCCCTATATCTAACTGGAAGCCAATGCAGGGACTGACAGAGCGTGGAGGCGTGGGAGGTGCGACCGGACAGGAAAATAAGCCTCGCAGCCGTATTCATTATAGATTGCAGCGGTGCAAGCTGGGAACATGTAAGACCGGTGAGAAGGGGATTGCAATAGTCAAGGCGAGAGAGAACAACAGCATGAACCAGTACCTTAGCCGCGTCCGGCGTTAGATATGGGCGGATGCGCGCTATGTTCTTGAGTTGGAAGCGACAGGATTTGGCTATCGATTGAACATGGGGAGTAAAAGAGAGATCAGAATCAAAAAGAACTCCTAGGCAGCGAGCCTGGGAGGTAGAGGTGATAGTAGCGCCGTTGTCTTGGATGGAGACAGACACCCCAGAGTAGCAACACTTGAGGGAGAAAAAAACTAGAAGTTCTGTTTTGGACAGGTTGAGTTTAAGGAAGTGAGCAGCCATCCATTTGGAAATAGCAGAGAGGCAGTCAGAAACACGAGTCAAGGTGGACGGAGAGAAATCGGGAGGACAGGTAGATTTGCGTGTCATCTGCATATAAATGATATTGGAAACCAAAGGAGCTGATGAGTTTACCAAGGGAGGCAGTATAGATCGAGGGCAGAACCTTGGGGGACGCCGACAGAGAGGGGTTGGGGAGAAGAGGCAGAGCCAGAGAAAGAAACACTGAAAGAGCGCTCGGAGAGTTAGGAGAGAGGGCAGTATCCCGTAGACCAAAGTTACGGAGAATGTGAAGAAGCTGTTGATGATCAACCGTGTCAAAGGCGGCAGACAGATCAAGGAGGATTAGGATAGAGTATTGCCCGCGAGATTTATCAGCAATTAAATCGTTGGATACTTTGGTCACAGCAATTTCGACAGAGTGACCAGCGCGGAATCCAGACTGAAGGGGGTCAAGCAGAGAGTTTGATTCGAGAAAGTCTGTCACTGTGGCGAACACAACTCTCTCGAGGATCTTGGAGGCAAATGGCAGTAGCGAGATAGGGCGGTAGTTGGATGGGGAGTTGGGATCAAGGTTGTGCTAATCAAGAGCTTCATTATTTGCACCAGGTGTGCTTGAGCTGGAATATTAGAAATGCCTGAACTGGCTAGGGGTTTGTTAAATGTCACAATTGACTGCATGTTAGAAATATGGCAAAAGTCAAAAGAATGGTCCACAAAGTTTAAGAAAAGAGATAATTTGCCCTTCACAAACTAGGAATGGGATACAAAAAGATAGCAAAGGCACTGAATGTTCCTAGAGACACCGTTGGAAGCATAGTTCACAAGTTAAAGGAACACTGGTTACACGACCTGGACCGGCCAAAAAAAGGAAGCGATCAATGCCTGCAACCAGATTTCTGAGAAGGCAGATTGTGAAAAACCCACGAGTGACTGCAAAAGGCCTGAAGCAAGACTTAGTGGCAACAGGCACTGAGGTTTCAGTGAGCACAGTAAGTGTATACTAAACGCAGCAGGTTTCCATGCCAGAACTCCAAGACTAAACTACTACTGACCAAAAACCAAACACAGGTTGGCTCCGATATGCTCAAGATCCTATAAATATGCCAAAAATGAAACAAAACTGGAACTTTTCAGCGGTATGTCTGGAGGAAGAAGAATTAAGTATATGCTGAAAAGTACACTCTGCCTACAGTTAAGCATGGTGTTGGCTCGGTGTGGCTCTAGGGCTGATTTGCATCCTCTGGCACTGGAAAGCAAGAAGGATTCATTGAAGTATCAGGAAATCCTAGGAGAAACATGATGTCGTCTGAGCTTGGTTATCATTGGAACTTTCAACAAGACAATGATACTAAACATACCTTAAATTCCACCAAGGCTTGGTTGTGGAACATTCTATAGTGGCCATCAGTCACCTGACGTAAACTCCATAGAAAATCTCCGGTGGGATTTGAAGAATGCAAACCCAAGAATATTACTGAACTGGAGGCCATTGCTTAATATTTCCCAGGAACACTGCCAGATGCTGGCGTCTTGCTATGCATAGTTTGCAGCAAGTCATAACAGTAAAAGGATGCTCTAACAAGTACTAAAGATGCTTGCCATGAAGGGGTTTTTATAATTTTGAGACTGAAGAAGTCTGTAAATTTTGGCAATAAACCTGATTTTTGTTTTAAAAAATTTTTTTAAACTTTATTTTTGTAGTGCGTAAGCGTATAACAGTTGCTTGTGAGGTAACCCAAAGGCAATCCTCTAGCACAGTACGAACAGTTGAACATAGAGGTACAAAGTAGAACAAGCACATTTTTAAAGTAAGGATAGAAACAGTATAGCTTTACTTTGTGCTGGCTTTTGTTTAACATAACATAGAGTGATCTCGCTTAATTTCCTAAACAGGTGATTATTTTGCTGTGTCAAAAGCTATTCAAACTGCGAGCGGATTACCACGTTTTAGAGCAAGTCTGTGTAAGTCAGCAGTTTAGTTATTGCTAGTGGCAGCAGCAAGGGGTATGGTTACAGAATATGTATTGACATGGCTGGCATAGGTCAATAGCATGTTGAGTGTAACATCATCCTAACAGGCTGATATGTCTACTTATGCATACGTGTTGAGCTTGTGATTTACTAGAGCCCTCTTGGTCGTTACAGCTATAGATTAGTGGTCACACTGGTGAACGTGTTGGACTAACCTTGGGAACAAGATAGTGAGGCTATATTCGGAGAAGCTCGGTATGTAGTTGCTCATTCCCGCGTGGAGTTCCCCCGTGGCCCCTGGTATGGACAGAGCTGTGTGCCTAATTATATTGTGTGCTGCAAGTACCCAGCGCTAATAAGGCATTGAGCATAGTGGTTAGTTGGTGATAATGGGGTTGGCTGTGCATGTGGTGCTTAGTTAGTTATAAGGCAGATATACAGCTAAAGAAAATTAAATAAAACAATAAATGATTATCAAAGTACATATTTGCTCTCTTGCCGTAACTAGAGTCCTCCGCTGTCTGTAATTCTATATGTCTGCATTGTAAGTAAAGTCAATAAGTGTCCCAGTGGAACCCGAAGTAGATGTCGAGCTCCGGTAGCCAGTTTAAAGTGATCACCTAGCCGACTCCAGATCGCGGGGCCTGCAGTCTGGTCACAGGAATCCGCTTGGCGGTATGGTGCATCCATCTTCTTCGATCGGTGCGGGAGGTCTTTGCGATGGTGAGTTCATAGCCCCACTCTGGTGAGGTAGACCTGCTAACCAGTGAAAGTCTGTGTGAGGTGGTATGCTGCAGGTTGTAGTGTCGCCTCCGAGATATGCCTGGCCGCGCGTCCGCCTCTGTGTGGTGTCTGTAGGGGAGTTGCAGCATGATCTGCCCGGGACCCCACGGTCTTGTCCGGCCCCTATTTGCCGTAGTGTGTCGCTGCTGCAGGGTATCTTTATCATGCCTCTCATGTAGGTTTCGTTTTGCCGGGCCCCGGTATTGATGGGTCGCTGTTATAGGCAGTGGTAGTCGTTTGGGCTTACATGCTGTTCGGTTTTGCCGCCCACTGGCTTTGTTTGCACGAGGAGGTGAGCCTTTTTGTTGGGGGATCGCTGGTAGTATTGTAGCAGATTGGTATACCTTGGCCTTTTGCTCCCTGGAGGCTATTGTCCTCCAGAATCTGGTGAACAGCTCGTCCAGCCTGGCCTCGAGGTCAGATTTCTTTGTGTCTCGAACCCACGTGGCGGCTGCCATTTTGGTCGCCATCTTGCCAGTAGCGGTTTGCTGGTTGGGGGTATGATTAAGGCTACTGCCATCTTCTGCGGTCCGTGTATGCATGTGGTACTCGCTGGCGTGGACCGGGATAACCTGATTTCTCCATTGGGGTTGAATCATTTTGATTATAAGGTAGATATTGTAAGGTACATTTTGAGAGACAGTCATGTGAAAATAAAGTACACCCTCTTTGAATTCTATGGTTTTGTACATCAGGACTTAATAACAATCATCTGTTCCTTAGCTCTTAAAACTGGGTTAACACAACCTCAGATGCACAGCAACACGACACATTACACGTGTCATGATTTATTTAACAAAAATAAAGCCAAAATGGAGAAACCATGTGAAAGTACACCCTTACTGCTTCCATAATAATTAAAAAGGCTAAGCAGCAGACAAATGCCCTTAATTGATCATCAGTCAGTGTGACCACCTCTGTAGAAGCTGAAGTTGTAGCAGTTTGCTGCTCTGGAGCAATTCCGCCGAGGAAAGACCTCAGCAATGATCTTAGAGAAGCAATTGTTGCTGCCCATCAAACTGGGATGGGTATAAGGCCATTTCCAAACAATTGTAGATTATGCTAACCTAGTGTACCTATAATCTTAATTTTAATAATGACGGGAGGCAAGTATTTTGCATGACTTTCTTTACTCATGCCTCCAGCAGCACAAGTCAGTCATTAAATTTTTAACCAATCATAACAAACCATATATCCATATATAAATCCCTGATCGTCACATGACTTCCTCTTTCTTTGGTGTGAGATTAGTCTATATAATGTCAGGGAATAAAACGTTCGTAATGATATAACAGTTCAAACTTGCTCCATGGGAGTCCCAACTTCAATTTAGTCCAACTTCAAACGGATAACGAATATCGGAAGTGAAACTTGATCCGTAAGATCCAATATCCGGTGTGTCCCATCCGGAGCCAATAACGGCAATCACACTGAAAGAAACAGAAACGAGTGTAAGAGGATGGAAATAGACTTATGTCTACATGATATCAGTGATACTATATCTATCCATATTCTATACAAATAACCTATCGTTATATACTAGCATTAAACCATAATATCCATAAGAACTCGTCTATTTCCTTAACCATCCTATTCCCATATAATCTAGATAAACTATACCAATTATAATTGATCAAGAGAAACGGTGACCTAAGATAACCCATAGAAACGGGAGGGAAAATACTCGCCTCCTGTCCTTATTAAGATTATAGGTACACTACGTTAGCATAATCTACAATTTTATCACATGACAGGAGGCTTCCTATTTTGCATTTTTAAAGCTGAGGTAATAACGAGAAAGATGCGTGCGTGGTCTGACGAAAATAAAATAACCGGAAAGTGTCTTCCCGTGTCCAGTTTGCGGAAAGTAGGATATCCGCTAGGGAAGCTCCTGCCGAGTACGCTCGCGAAGCGGCCACGCCCCAAACCGAATGAGCCCTGAAACATGTCTCCACTTCTGCCAAGGATAGGATCCAACGAACCCATTGAGCCAGAGTAGTAGTGGTAACCGGTTTGTAGGGTTTGGCGGACGACACCAGCAGTTGCCCGCTACTAAAATCTCGAAGGTTTGCAGTAACCTCTACATATCGAGTAAGTGCGGAAACTACACATAAACGGGGGACCGTAGGGAAGAAAGGGTAAGATATAGATGTTGAATTCATTTTAGTTCTATGAGACACCGTGAAGGTAACCCTTTTTGGTGAGATTGAGAACCCGTCCATGTCGAACGCTCGCACGTCCGAAACTCATCGAAAGGATACCAAACATAGAAGCAAAGTGAGTTTGGACGACAACTGGCGTAGAGACAAATCTGAGTTGTCTGGCCAATTCCGAAGGAAACGGAGGACCACCTCTACATCCCACAAATGATTATACTTAGATTCCGGTGGTCTGGACAATTTGATGCCTCGCAGCAGGCGACATACCAAAGGGTCCTGACCGACCAGAGAGCCTTGTACTGGCACGTGTGCCACATTGATGGAAAGATAGGATCTTCCTTCTGTGAAAAGGTGGGACAAAAAATTTACCACCATGGTGATAGGTGCTGTAAAGGGATCACAATTCCTTCCCACACACCAGCGGTTCCATGAATTCCATGCTGATGGGTAACTGTCGGGTACACGGTGCCCATGAATCCCATAAAAGGTTTTTAGCTGGTTGCGATAGTCCCTCGAAGGACCAGGCTCCCCTGAAAGACTCCAGACCACCAGCTCCAGATTCTCCTGTACCACTAGTGGATGTGGTTCCCCTTTCGGGTCTGTCAGTAGGAAGGGGAATGATGGAAGAAATAGGGGATTGTCTTGTGTTAGAGCCAATAACTCCGGAAGCCACGCCTGACTTTTCCACAACGGTGTGATGAGAATCATAGAGATCTTGGTCGTTGTGATGCGATGGATTACTCTTGCTATCATCGAGAATGGGAATGCGTACGCTCCCCTCGGGGGGCCACTGTTGTAGAAAGGCATCTACCACCTCTCATTGAGGGTCTGGAAGCCAGCTGTAATATCTTGGTAACTGTGTGTTCGTCCAAGACGCAAACAGGTCCACGACCAATGGGCCCCTGAGGTCCTTCACCACTGATTCCGCCTTGATCGTAATGTTGCGGGGAATACAGAATTGGTAGATGTCCTTCGTCACCTCTGTCAAGACTCTTGATCGGGCTCCTCACAGGCGATTTATGTATTGGACCGTGGGAATGTTGTCCATGCGCAGAAGGATGTAGCAGTTCGCCATGTCCTTGGCTAGACTGCGAATCGCAAATGATGCTGCAATCAGTTCCAGACAGTTGATGTGGAGACCCTGTTCCTCTTGAGACCATGGACTTCCCATGGATGCGTAGGTGCAGTGAGCTCCCCAGCCCCAAAGGCTCGCGTCCAATTCCAATACAAAGTCCGGGTTCGTCCCGAAAATGGCCTTACCGTTCTAGGCTTCCATGTGAAGTAGCCACCATCGAAGTTCCGTCCAAGCTTCTGCGGAGACAGGAATCCAGTGGTCGTATGTGTGTCCGGCTCGTAGGTATTGGGCTTTCAATTTCTGCATGGCCCGGTAGTGGAGCGGGCCTGGGAAAATCACCTGTATTGATGAGGAAAGTAGGCCTACTATCCTCGCTAGTAATCGGAGAGGTATGGTGTCTGAGTATCCGTCGAATTTCCTTCCAAATGGCCGCTATCTTCGATGCGGGGAGGCGTAGTACGCAAGAGTTGGAGTCTATCTCGAACCCGAGGAACTGAACTATTCAGGATGGAGTCAACGATGATTTTTCTCTGTTCACTACAAACCCCAATGATTCCAGAAAGCGAATGGTAAATCTCGTCTGAGATCGAATTCTGGATTTGGAGTCGCAGAAGATCAACAAATCGTCCAGATACACGAGACGGCTTATTCCCCTTTCTCTCAAATGGTCCATGACTGGTTTGAAGAGTTTCATAAAACACCATGGAGCCGAGCTGAGGCCGAATGGTAGACATGTGAATTGGCAGGAGCGGCCCCTCCAGGTGAAACGAAGGAAGGATCGGCTTTCTTGTGCCGTGGGGACCAACATGTATGCGTCTTTTAAGTCTAGACGTGTGAACCAGTCGGGTTCGTTCAGTAAGTCTCTCAGAAGGTGAATACCTTACATTTTGAAATGGCGATAAGCCACAAATCCATTGAGTTCTCGTAAATTGATGACTGGCCGGTAGTCTCCCGTCTTTTTCCTGACGACGAACATGTTGCTGAAGTAACACTGGTAGTCTGTGGCGAATTCCACCGCTCCCTTTGCGAACAGAGTTCATATCTCCGTGTCTATGAGGCGTATCTGGCTCTTTGACACCCGGATAGGCGGCGGTCGCCTGGTCTGAACTGGCGTATGGGTAAACTCTATCAAGTACCCTTGCACGGTCTGTAGGATCCATGCGTCTGTGGAGATGCGTTCCCACTCCTGTGGAAAAAGGGACAGTCTGCCAGCAGTTATATTTGAATGACATAACGGAAGACAGTTCATGCTCACCTGAGTTGAATCGTCCCCGTCCTCTGCTACGAGTGCCCCTTGTACGTAAGGATCCCCTTGTGAAGGTGGCTCTTACAGATGGGAAGAACTGCTGTGTAGCATATGGACGACTGGGGCCAGATGGCCAGAAGCGGCTGGTGGCCCGACCCCTCTGCCGACCAGCCCTGCCAAAAACACCTCGAGTTGTTTGTGGGTTCCGAAAGACTTGTCTAATGGATGATTGGGCCTTGTTCAGTGTAGTGAATAGGCTGACGTGTTTTTTCAGTTCCGCCAGGAATGGTTCTCCAAAGAGCAGCCCGTCCGCCAGAGGACCTAGCTCTTTACTTTCCCAGGTCCAACCGTTTGGAATCTATCTTCAATAGGGCCGCTTTACGTCGTTCTGCGCGCATGGCAGCGTTAGTTACCTAGAAGGCAGATCGCCCGCTGTGCCCATTCTCTAATGTCGTGTGCCTTGAGGGTCGTCCCCTGAGTAAGTGCCAAATCTGCAAAGTATAGGATCTTCGCCAGTGGGCCTATCATGTCCAACAATCTTGTCAGGTAGCACGGGACGTGGGCACTCTGCTTTAAGCTTGGCCCGAACCTCCTTGTCCATCGGTTTCCTCAGCCAAAAATTCCGGCAGGTTCCATTCTGACGATCTGGGGTGTCGTATCTGACGCGGATCGAACATGCGGTTGCCTGTCCCGTCCAGGAACACCCCGTCCTCCTTTACGTCCGTATTCAATTTACGTGTGCCTTTGTTGCCTGAGCGGCCTACAATAAAGCGTACTTCGTTATAAGCCCTGATTGGGTGCGGGGATCACCCCTATGTAAAAATCGTCACTAGTACTTTTTATATATATTTTTTTTTCTTTTCCCCTCTGAGGTGAGAATAGATCTTCAAGGTTTCCACCCGTGTGGGTCAATCGCCGATGCACTCTGTGAGAGCTAACCAATTGGGTAATGCAGCCTGTGCAGGATGGGAGTTCTACCAATCAGTGTAGTAATGACTGGTAGTAATTCTTTCAATCCTGAGTGTCTTGTTACAGTCCCTATGGTACTTCTCCAGCAAGGGCTCCCTAGCACAGGGCTTAAGGGGTTAACCTGCAATGGAAGGACATTAAATACGCAAAAAACATTTGCCAGTTCGTGGGAATCACGAACTGGCAAAACTAAGATGGCCGACGAGGATATCGCGAGATCCAAGATGGCCGCCGTTCGTGCGCAAAATTTGCCGTGCTGTCCGTGATCGCGGCCTGACGGTACCGGTCGGCATGCCCCAGCACCCTGGTACCCTTAAATTAACCTGGTGGTCCCGCTCGATCGCGGTAAAATTCCACGAATCACGAGGGACAAGCAGGCAAGAGGCAGGCTGGGAGAGACAGTTCAATCCTGAAGGGGAACCAAGGAAAAAGAGAGAAAATATCACAAAGTCCAGGGTGAGAGGAGGATAAGCTGAGGGAGAGCAGGGGTGAATAGTAGGGACAAGTTAATGAAACAAGGCAGGATAAGGTTGCACTGCTAAGAGAAGAACAGTGAGAACAGAATACTCTGACCTTTGCCTTGGCTGGAAGCAGCAAAGAAAGAGGAAGTCATGTGCAGTCAGGGCTTTATATATGGATATGTGGTTTGTTATGATTGACTTGTGCTGCTGGAGGCATGAGTAAAGAAAGTCATGCAAAATAGGAAGCCTCCTGTCATGTGATAAAATTTCAAGTCAGTCATTCTACAGTGATGTGTGTGTGTGTGTGTGTGTGTGTGTGTGTGTGTGTGTGTGTGTGTGTGTGTGTATGCACACACAACAGCAGATAAGGAAGAATGCTTTCCTCTGCAACACTATATCTGTGTATATAAAACAAACTGACTGTAACAGGAGTCCCTTCTTTAAAGGAAAACAAACGTGTATTCCTGACAATAAATTTAAAACAGTTTAGGCCCCCCTTAACCCTGGTTATAAAGACAATTTTATTCCTGTTTTTCGGATGCCGTGCAGGTCCTGCCTCCATGGCTGAGACTAAACTTCGCAATCTCAGCCAATGAATGCTTTCCCTTTGGGTGGCCGTTGCGCATGCGCGGCAAAATGCTGCTCTGTCCCAACAGGTATCTCCTCGTTGAGTTGCAATGAATCAATGCATCTGTCGGAGCATGGAGATACTAAACGTCTGTTCTGTGCACTGAAAAGGCGGTGTTTACGTTAAAATACCTGCAGGGACAGTCTTTAGACACCAGAACAACTACATTGCCCTGCATGCCGTTCTGGTGTCCATTTACATTGAATTGTGCATGTTCTTTGTTTTCTCCATGGTATCCTGTATATAACCATATTATTGTGAGTGTATGTGCAAGTTAATATGAATAAAATGTCATTTGTGAGATTGTCAGCAATTCTAATCGTTTTTTTCTTCTTTCTTTTTATACAGACAAAAGAATTTATAGATGGATGTTTACAAAATGGAGGTAATTCAAGTTTATTTACTTTTGTGGCCATCTTGCTTTTTAGTTACACAGTTGTCCACAATGTGGGATTTGTAATTCTACCATTTTTCAATCCAGAGATGACACTGTAAAGTCCCTTGAATTTGAACTTTTTGCACGTGATCTGATTATTCTTTATTCATTAACACATTTTATTGTAATTCCATTTTTTTGACTGCTGTGCATGTTTGTCACGTTATTGCAGTCTGCACTTTATTTTATGGTCCCTATTTCTGAAGGCTAAGGATCTGTCCGAAAGCCCTCATTTTCTACCCACGTGGCTGGTCCCTAATTTTGCGACTACTTTAATCAGTTGTTTGAGTAAATGAGGGGCGCTCTAACTTTATTTAGAACACCTCTGTTTCATCCTGGAAGGCTGTGATTTAGGATTGCCAGTACTTGTCTTTACATACAGTGACCTGATATGCGTGTGCCTGGATCCACATGGACTTCATTTCTAACTGGATCTGCGTGTTCCCTTTTAAAGGGAAAGGTTTTATTTTAATGTGCTATTACACACACATAACTTGTGGCCGAGCTTGATTTCCCAAAGTTCCACTGGGTTCCATGTATTTGACACGGTGGCCTCAATCTAATATTGTTGGCTATATTAACTATTCAAACGGTTCAATATTTTGGGGGTACATTTCTAAAATATAGCTTTAATGTTGTAATATTTTGTTATTGATATAATATTTTTGATTTTATCATATAAACCTGTATCCAAAAATATTAAACCTGAAAAGCTTATCCAAAGAGATTACATTGAGTATTTTCTAATGAATATTTATTCACTCTGGCAGCATTTTAAGTATTTATTTGTTTCATTATTTTGACTGAAGTCCTGGTGTTGATTTTCTGATGTTTTGCAGGAAAGGTTCTCATTCATGGGAACGCAGGAATTTCTCGAAGTGCCGCCTTAGTTATTGCTTATATTATGGAAACGTTTGGAATCAAATACAGGTAGGAGATCGGTTTTAGTCTTATTATCACTGTGCTACAGGTAGGAGATCGGTTTTAGTCTTATTATCACTGTGCTACAGGTAGGAGATCGGTTTTAGTCTTATTATCACTGTGCTACAGGTAGGAGATCGGTTTTAGTCTTATTATCACTGTGCTACAGGTAGGAGATCGGTTTTAGTCTTATTATCACTGTGCTACAGGTAGGAGATCGGTTTTAGTCTTATTATCACTGTGCTACAGGTAGGAGATCGGTTTTAGTCTTATTATCACTGTGCTACAGGTAGGAGATCGGTTTTAGTCTTATTATCACTGTGCTACAGGTAGGAGATCGGTTTTAGTCTTATTATCACTGTGCTACAGGTAGGAGATCGGTTTTAGTCTTATTATCACTGTGCTACTGGTAGGAGATCGGTTTTAGTCTTATTATCACTGTGCTACAGGTAGATCGGTTTTAGTCTTATTATCACTGTGATACAGGTAGATCGGTTTTAGTCTTATTATCACTGTGATACAGGTAGATCGGTTTTAGTCTTATTATCACTGTGCTACAGGTAGATCGGTTTTAGTCTTATTATCACTGTGCTACAGGTAGGAGATCGGTTTTAGTCTTATTATCACTGTGCTACAGGTAGGAGATCGGTTTTAGTCTTATTATCACTGTGCTACAGGTAGGAGATCGGTTTTAGTCTTATTATCACTGATACAGGTAGATCGGTTTTAGTCTTATTATCACTGTGATACAGGTAGGAGATCGGCTTCAGTCTTATTATCACTGTGATACAGGTAGGAGATCGGTTTTAGTCTTATTATCACTGTGCTACAGGTAGATCGGTTTTAGTCTTATTATCACTGTGATACAGGTAGATCGGTTTTAGTCTTATTATCACTGTGCTACTGGTAGGAGATCGGTTTTAGTCTTATTATCACTGTGCTACAGGTAGGAGATCGGTTTTAGTCTTATCACTGTGATACAGGTAGATCGGTTTTAGTCTTATTATCACTGTGATACAGGTAGGAGATCGGCTTCAGTCTTATTATCACTGTGATACAGGTAGGAGATCGGTTTTAGTCTTATTATCACTGTGCTACAGGTAGGAGATCGGTTTTAGTCTTATCACTGTGCTACAGGTAGATCGGTTTTAGTCTTATTATCACTGTGATACAGGTAGGAGATCGGTTTTAGTCTTATTATCACTGTGCTACAGGTAGGAGATCGGTTTTAGTCTTATTATCACTGTGCTACTGGTAGGAGATCGGTTTTAGTCTTATTATCACTGTGCTACAGGTAGGAGATCGGTTTTAGTCTTATTATCACTGTGATACAGGTAGGAGATCGGTTTTAGTCTTATTATCACTGTGATACAGGTAGATCGGTTTTAGTCTTATTATCACTGTGATACAGGTAGGAGATCGGTTTTAGTCTTATTATCACTGTGCTACAGGTAGATCGGTTTTAGTCTTATTATCACTGTGCTACAGGTAGATCATCGGTTTTAGTCTTATTATCACTGTGCTACTGGTAGGAGATCGGTTTTAGTCTTATTATATCTACTCGGTTTTAGTCTTATTATCACTGTGCTACTGGTAGGAGATCGGTTTTAGTCTTATTATCACTGTGCTACAGGTAGATCGGTTTTAGTCTTATTATCACTGTGATACAGGTAGATCGGTTTTAGTCTTATTATCACTGTGCTACTGGTAGGAGATCGGTTTTAGTCTTAGTCTTACACTGTGATACAGGTAGATCGGTTTTAGTCTTATTATCACTGTGATACAGGTAGGAGATCGGCTTCAGTCTTATTATCACTGTGATACAGGTAGGAGATCGGTTTTAGTCTTATTATCACTGTGCTACAGGTAGGAGATCGGTTTTAGTCTTATCACTGTGCTACAGGTAGATCGGTTTTAGTCTTATTATCACTGTGATACAGGTAGGAGATCGGTTTTAGTCTTATTATCACTGTGCTACAGGTAGGAGATCGGTTTTAGTCTTATTATCACTGTGCTACTGGTAGGAGATCGGTTTTAGTCTTATTATCACTGTGCTACAGGTAGGAGATCGGTTTTAGTCTTATTATCACTGTGATACAGGTAGGAGATCGGTTTTAGTCTTATTATCACTGTGATACAGGTAGATCGGTTTTAGTCTTATTATCACTGTGATACAGGTAGGAGATCGGTTTTAGTCTTATTATCACTGTGCTACAGGTAGATCGGTTTTAGTCTTATTATCACTGTGCTACAGGTAGATCATCGGTTTTAGTCTTATTATCACTGTGCTACTGGTAGGAGATCGGTTTTAGTCTTATTATCACTGTGCTACAGGTAGATCGGTTTTAGTCTTATTATCACTGATACAGGTAGATCGGTTTTAGTCTTATTATCACTGTGATACAGGTAGATCGGTTTTAGTCTTATTATCACTGTGATACAGGTAGGAGATCGGTTTTAGTCTTATTATCACTGTGCTACAGGTAGGAGATCGGTTTTAGTCTTATCACTGTGCTACAGGTAGATCGGTTTTAGTCTTATTATCACTGTGATACAGGTAGGAGATCGGTTTTAGTCTTATTATCACTGTGATACAGGTAGGAGATCGGTTTTAGTCTTATTATCACTGTGCTACAGGTAGGAGATCGGTTTTAGTCTTATCACTGTGCTACAGGTAGATCGGTTTTAGTCTTATTATCACTGTGATACAGGTAGGATATCAGTTTTAGTCTTATTATCACTGATACAGGTAGATCGGTTTTAGTCTTATTATCACTGTGATACAGGTAGGAGATCGGCTTCAGTCTTATTATCACTGTGATACAGGTAGGAGATCGGTTTTAGTCTTATTATCACTGTGCTACTGGTAGGAGATCGGTTTTAGTCTTATTATCACTGTGCTACAGGTAGGAGATCGGTTTTAGTCTTATTATCACTGTGATACAGGTAGGAGATCGGTTTTAGTCTTATTATCACTGTGATACAGGTAGATCGGTTTTAGTCTTATTATCACTGTGCTACAGGTAGATCATCGGTTTTAGTCTTATTATCACTGTGCTACTGGTAGGAGATCGGTTTTAGTCTTATTATCACTGTGCTACAGGTAGGAGATCGGTTTTAGTCTTATTATCACTGATACAGGTAGATCGGTTTTAGTCTTATTATCACTGTGATACAGGTAGATCGGTAGTCTTATTATCACTGTGCTGGTAGGAGATCGGTTTTAGTCTTATTATCACTGTGCTACAGGTAGGAGATCGGTTTTAGTCTTATCACTGTGATACAGGTAGATCGGTTTTAGTCTTATTATCACTGTGATACAGGTAGGAGATCGGCTTCAGTCTTATTATCACTGTGATACAGGTAGGAGATCGGTTTTAGTCTTATTATCACTGTGCTACAGGTAGGAGATCGGTTTTAGTCTTATCACTGTGCTACAGGTAGATCGGTTTTAGTCTTATTATCACTGTGATACAGGTAGGAGATCGGTTTTAGTCTTATTATCACTGTGCTACAGGTAGGAGATCGGTTTTAGTCTTATTATCACTGTGCTACAGGTAGGAGATCGGTTTTAGTCTTATTATCACTGTGCTACAGGTAGGAGATCGGTTTTAGTCTTATTATCACTGTGCTACAGGTAGGAGATCGGTTTTAGTCTTATTATCACTGTGCTACAGGTAGGAGATCGGTTTTAGTCTTATTATCACTGTGATACAGGTAGATCGGTTTTAGTCTTATTATCACTGTGCTACAGGTAGATCGGTTTTAGTCTTATTATCACTGTGATACAGGTAGGAGATCGGTTTTAGTCTTATTATCACTGTGCTACAGGTAGATCGGTTTTAGTCTTATTATCACTGTGCTACAGGTAGATCATCGGTTTTAGTCTTATTATCACTGTGCTACTGGTAGGAGATCGGTTTTAGTCTTATTATCACTGTGCTACAGGTAGGAGATCGGTTTTAGTCTTATTATCACTGATACAGGTAGATCGGTTTTAGTCTTATTATCACTGTGATACAGGTAGGAGATCGGCTTCAGTCTTATTATCACTGTGATACAGGTAGGAGATCGGTTTTAGTCTTATCACTGTGCTACAGGTAGGAGATCGGTTTTAGTCTTATCACTGTGCTACAGGTAGATCGGTTTTAGTCTTATTATCACTGTGATACAGGTAGGAGATCGGTTTTAGTCTTATTATCACTGTGATACAGGTAGGAGATCGGTTTTAGTCTTATCACTGTGCTACAGGTAGGAGATCGGTTTTAGTCTTATCACTGTGCTACAGGTAGATCGGTTTTAGTCTTATTATCACTGTGATACAGGTAGGATATCAGTTTTAGTCTTATTATCACTGATACAGGTAGATCGGTTTTAGTCTTATTATCACTGTGATACAGGTAGGAGATCGGCTTCAGTCTTATTATCACTGTGATACAGGTAGGAGATCGGTTTTAGTCTTATTATCACTGTGATCCAAGTCTCTCAGAATTCTGTTTCTTTTAAAGTACACGCGCTGTGCACATGGAATTTACACCTTGATTTGTATTTATTGCTTTACTTCATGTCAGTAGTTGGTAAACGGAACATTAAAGTGCTTTCAGTCCCAATCATGGACTTCCCACACGTTCCGTGGTGTGAGTGCATTTTAGCATTAAAGGGACACTATAGTCACCATAACTACAGCTAATTGTACAGTATACAGCTTACTGTACATGTTCTGGTGAGTAGAATCATTCCCTTCAGGCTTTTTGCTGTAAACACTGTCTTTTCAGAGAAAATGCAGTGTTTACATTACAGCCTAGTAATACCTCCACTGGCCACTCCTTAGATGGCTGCTAGATGTGCATCCTGGGGCAGTGCTGCACACTGTGACTGAGATTCAGTGTGTCCACCTTCTGCATGCAGACACTGAACTTTCTTGATTCAATGTATCTCTATGAGGAGCTGCTGATTGGTCAGGACTGTTTGACTTGTGCTTGCTCTACCCCGATCTGCCTCCTTGACAGTCTCAGCCAATCCTATGGGAAAGCATTGTGATTGGCTCACACCACCACTTCTGATGTCAGCAGGCAGGGGCAGAGCCGGGAGCTGCAGACTTGAGTACAAGTAGGATTTTACTATATTTAGGGAGGCAAGAGGGGGCTAGATGGTGGTTTTAACACTATATATAGGGTCAGGAATACATGTTTGTGTTCCTGACCCTATAGTGCTCCTTTAAGTTCATTTTCATTTAAAACATTTAAAGAGTGGCAATGTAGCAGAGTATTTTAAAACAAAGATTTTGAAAATGTAATTTCTGGAACTTTACATTTAAACCAAAAATGGCATTAAAGTATGTATTTGATATGTCGCACTCTCAAACCATTTCCTGTGCAGCATTTTGATCTAAATGCTGCCTTTTTCCTCCGAATAATTTAGTAGGTTTGTGTCTTTTACTTGGCTGTATCCTGTGCAAATTAGGTCTACATAAACAAGTCTTGCTCATTCATTTTCTGCCCTTTTCCACATGTTTACTGCACTGTTGCTATGACTTGCAAGCTTGGTGTGTACAAAGGGAAGAAAACAATGTTCATACTAGAACAACCTTTCTATCTATAGCTATTATTCATAAGAACAATATCACAAGAAAGCCTCATCAGTCTGTTTTTCAATGGTATAAAGTGTGTATGTACATTTTTTTTAAACAAAAGACAAAAACATGACCACTTCCAAAATTGCCTATTTTGTGAATGGCAAAACAAAAATCTGTTAACGCATTTAGAAAAGATAATCACTGCTTACCAACTAGACTATTAACATAAACAAATCTGCGCTCTACCTAACGTGCTAAAATACACAAATAACTGCGGTGAATGGGAGTCATTTTTCTATTTATTAAAATATCTCCAGGGAATGATGATAAATCTAAATATCCCTTTATCCCACTCGTGAGATTTAAAAATCAGGGACATGGAATTCCACAGCGGTCGCCTGCTTGCCTAAATTCAACCAGCACTGAATTGTAGATATATTGTGAGAAACCATAACGGGGTTAATAGGATGTTTTTGTGAATAACTATGAAAAGAAGAATTTAGCTTTGCTTTTTGTCCTACCTACTGTACGTGAAAAATTAGATGGTTTCAAACCCTGAATCCCAGAAAACCTGTAAAACCTTTGATTCCACCAATCTGCAGCATAAAATGAAAACAATTGAAATCTATTTTGAGTATCATTGAACAGCAATCTGTACTTGGAGTCGTTTTATTGTAATACTAACTGTGCCAAGCAGTTAAACGGCTTTCCTTCTGTTTCAGAGAGGCGTTCACATATGTCCAAGAAAGACGGTTCTGTATTAATCCCAATGCTGGATTTGTCCATCAACTTCAGGTAGGTAGTATTTCCTGTTATTTTATATACATATATATGGCTGTAAGCTCCTTTATTGAAAGATAACTCTCTCTCATCCTGGCTCCTTTAATACACCGATAATCAAACCACCTGCAGGGCTAGGCAACCTTCGGCACTGCACATGTTGTGGACTAGCTCTGTCAGCATTATGGGAAATATAGTCCACAACATCTGGAGTGCCGAAGGTTGCTTAGCCCTGATTTAGAAGATGGATATAGTGTATGCAATGAGATTATACACAGATCTGATATTACGGCTAAACTATATATTCCAAATACACTGTGTGTAAACGCATATAAAAGCATCCGCAGAATAAAATTAAAAGTATAAACCGTAAATCACTGTCAGAATCCCATAAAATATCACTACATTTAGTAAAGACCCAGATTATAAATGTCGCTTGCAAAGATTGGGTTGTGTAATTCCTTCTATCCATTTTTATCAACTAACCCAAACCTTTCCTTGTAGTTTACACATTATTTCTGTGACTGTCCATAATGCTAGCGCTGACACATGCCATACAGCTTCCATGATTAATGCATTTCATTTATTACACACCGTGGGTTTCATATATACAGGATCCAGTCAGTGTGACAAAATGATCAGCTATTTACCAAGTCTGTCATAATCTCATGCTGTGCATTGACTGAATCTATAAAATGCCATAAATGGGGTGAGTTTGCCGTCCGCCTCACCCTGATCTGAGCGAGGACTGAAGCGAGTAAATCTATATCTGTGGTAGACACAAGGAGCAATTTTTTATTAAAATGGAACAGTTGGGGCTATGAAGCAAAGCATCATTTGGAAAGTAGACACATCAATGAGTTTCTGACGCTTTGTCTGTGGTGTTTGTTTTTGTTCCCCCTAGTTAAGATTTTTGTTTTAATTGAAATTAAAGCAAATTAAGTGTTTGCAGAAATAGTGCAGTATTGACAATAAATATTATTTCTATTTAGGAATATGAAGCCATCTATCTAGCAAAACTAACCATTAAAATGATGAGACCTCTTTCACTGCAAGCTGGTGCTATAGGTAATGTACAGTAACACTGTGTGTGTGTGAAGTGTCCGTCTGATTGCGAATAGGTTCATGCGCAGGCGTCCCCTAATACAGGATTCCAAAACTTGTCTTACTCAGGAGGCCTGAAGAGAACTTTGGACGAAGCCTAATCCTCTGAACGTGAGCTCAGCGAACATTAAAATCACTTGGTTGTGTTCTGCCCAGGTGCTGCTATTGGCCAATTACTGGAGTTCTGAGAGCGTGAAAAGCACTGATCATTTTACTTCTTAAACAGCCGTTTTACCAAAACGCAAGATTTTTTTGGTCCTGCGAAGAGGTATTATTGCAATAACGCACTTTTCATACTTGAAGTTTTTGGGGGGTTTTTTTTGTCCCTTTTATTTGTAAACTTATTAATAACAATGCAAATGTTTGGGAAGGGAGAGTTTGTATAAAAAGTTATGTTTAATTTATAAGATGAGTCTTTAGTATTGAAATGTTTGCTAAGATTTTGTTTTGTAAATACATTTTTATAGGTTTAGAAGTTCTGAAATTTTTAACACACCCGATTCTATACAAAAAGCATACTTGATCATCTGAGGATTGTACACATTTCTGCTAAGTTTCCCTACTATAACGGAGTGCTTTTTATTAGAAGATTTATATTGTGGCTTTTGCCTGAATACAGATTTTTCTTGTTCCTTCATAACCAATTGTACTGAAGTTTTCCAAATAAACACTTTAAAAATTAACTGACGTATTGTGAAATATTCCTGGGCCTGGCAGCTTAAACCAGTACTTTTCCACCGCCACCACGACTGCCTGGACTCGTATTACGTAATCCTGGTGACTCCAAACTTGCTTTCTCCTATTGTTTCCGCTCTTCCTGTCTGCTCTAGTGTTTTGTTTTTTAAAACACAAGATAAACTAGGGACTACTTTGTCTTGTGTATTTTTCCTAAGCTTGACTTTCATTGGCCGAAGGAGGAGCTTAAGTCCGCTCTATTTCCTGTGGTCAAAGAAAATGTTCCCACAATATTCACCTTCCGTAGTGTTCTCGCGTTGCTTCATTCGCCATTTAGACGGCACTGGCGAATTCACCGAATGTATGGTTACTCCAGTCGTGTTAGATTTGGAATTTGATTGCAGCCGCTTAGTAGATAGCCCTATAATTCCCACGTTATGTACTAAAAAGCTGATGGTAAAGTTGGCTGAAAGCTCAATTTTGGTCTAAGTAAAAACTAAGCAAATTGTCGTGGTGCCCACACCGGTCTGTCTTGGTGCATTTAAAGGGACACTAAGCATCAGAACCATTCCCTCTTAATAGAGAATGGGGTTTCCTTTGTAAATACTGACCTGTGCCCAAGATTACTTCAAATATACAAAAACATTTTAAAATTCATCATTTTATTAGATCTTCAATAAATTATCATCATTTATCACTAGAAAATATGGTAAGGAGGAACAAAACACAAACCTTAACTATTAGCCCACAGTAAATAGATTTTCTACCAATCAGGTTCTTTTGGCTATTCTACAATGGTTTCTATGGACCATTTCATGGCATTCTGCGCCGTTCCACATCTTTAGGGAACAATAAATACATTCTATTACAGGAGGTATTTCAGGTTAATCTCTCAAATCTTTCCATTCTGACAGCAAGTAATATCACCCAGACCCCAGCAGTCTAATCATTGTACAAAAATACAAATAAAGATAAAAATATAGATTTGTCTTTTTTAGGAAACATTTAGACTTTTCCTTAAACAACGCAACTATTGTAAAATAGTGTAAAATTGCTATTTACATTTTATATTCCAGTAAAGTGGCGCTCTGAGTTCTTTGGTAAAGCTTCAAGCAGGATTAGTCGGAGAACCTTCTCTGCATGTAGGTTTCGTCGGACGCCACATAGCCAAACTTCTCATAAAAGGCGACATTTTTGGGCTTGCATTCCAACGTAACTTTATAGCAGCCTAACTTTTTACTTAACAAGGTAAGTACGGACAACAGCCTGGCCGGGGTTGGTGGGGGAGAGAAAAAAAACAGCAGTTTAGAAAGCTGCAGCAACACAATGTATTTTATTAATGCTGATCACTGTCTGTAGGCATGGATTTAATAAGTCACATGGAGTCATGGTGTTAAATGTATACAAACCATAATGTTTGGTCAGTGCGTGTGTTACAACTGAGCAAACTGCCTGTCTCCTAATGCAGATACGGCCGAGGAGATCACTTTCCCATATTCTACGCAAAATCAAATGCATTAAATCCTGAGTTATTGCTTGGAGAGTTATTCAAACTGTATCCTAACCATGACACTATCAGACTTTGGGAGTGAGTTTATACAATCGTGTGGTGAACGATTATATGCTTCAATAGTTTGTTCTAGCTAGACGCCATCCGCAAGCTATTAACATAGTTCTTCATGGGATTTCTGAGCCCCCCAGCGGTCAGTGAAGGAGGAGACGTGCTGTGCTACTCTCTCCAATGATGCCGGGATCCCATTTCACAGCTCTGTGTTGAGTGCTGTAGGTAACCTTGTACTGGCAAATCCTATTTAGAACCTGTGTTTGTGTGCTATTGGTACAGAGAACATTGTAAAGTAAATAGTTTTATGTACGTATTGACAATCATACTGATTGAACACCATCCAGTCCCTGGATTAACATTTGGCCCACTATTTGATGGAAAAAGGAACCCTTCAAGCACCCTAATCATTGAAGCTCACTGTTGTGGTGCCAGATGTGCCCTAGTCCCCTCCCATAATTACAGGGGTGGGTGAAACTTGAAAGACAAAATGTTTGAAGGCGTCTAAGATTTGTGTCAGCCCATACCAACCATTTACTTTGCGAGGCGTCAGATTTCAGCTCGCTTGCCTTTCACTCCGCTTCAAGAAGTCTACACCATACAGTTAAAGCCTCATTGCCCAGTGAGGTAGAAATTAAGCCTTTCTGAAGGTGCTTGATTGTCAACTGTAAAATGCATTAAAAAAACCTTCAGAAAGACTTAATGGGTTGACGTTTAACAGCGTAGATTTCTTAAAGGTGGGCAAAAGGCAGTGAAAGTGTTAAAGCTTGTACCCCAACACCTGGAAAACCATCTATTAAGGTTAGAAAGGTGTGTTGGCAGCATCTCCAAAGCCACCACAGTAGGTACTACAGGGAGCGGATGAGGATTTCAGGTTGACAGCTTTTGAATTGTGGCACAAAGCTTGTGCTAGATTGGCCTGGACTTAAGGTACACTATAGTCCTCAATATATTTTACCAGGAAAGACACATTTTGTCCTGGGTTCTTTATATTCTAGATAATACCTCTGCCATTTAGGAGTTAAATCACTTTGTTTTTAAAGCTCTAGCCGCACCTCCCTGCAAGTTATTTAGACAGCCTTCCTCCAAAGAGAGAGAGGTTTACATTTCCTTTTATTGCAAATTCAGAATTTTCTATCTCCTCTTCATTGAACTTCAGTCACATACAGGGGGCTCCTGCAGGGTCTAGCAAGCTATTAACAGAGCAGCAGACTAAATAAAAAATGTGAATAAAGTGTAAACATTACATCGCTCTTTACTGGAAGTGTTTAGGACGGCTGTGTGCCTCACATGCACCAAACCTGCTTCCTTAAGATGGTTGGTTTGGTACTATAGTGCCCCTTTAAACCCAACATTCATGATGAAAAATCTCTGTAAAATGGACTTAAAACAAATCAGTTCTTGAAAAACTTTTTTTAAATTAAAACTAATTTATGACACTTCTTACTGAGATTAGGAAAATAGACTGGTACTTAAAATTTTCAAATATTTGACTTCTACATTTTTTTGAGGGTTCCCCCCCCCCATTTTGTCCCAATTAATGTACACATTACTGAGGGTTGCTAGGTGGCCATGGCTGCACACATACTTTACTCTCCAGGGCACTTCTGGCTCCATAAATCTTAGTGATATGTAGTGGTTATGGTGCTTAGAATGTTCATGCATCAAGAACACTTTTACCCCAATCCCAACTTCATCTCAGTGATGTTGTTATGGTGGCAGAAGTGTCAATGCTCTCCCTGACAGTACCATAACCACTACAACTCAGTGGATTGGCTATGGTACAAAGCAGCTGTGTAGGTGCTACTCTTGAGGTTTTTACACCGGTTAAAAGTGCTGTTCGGAATGTGGTTTGGGGGTACCCGTGGTGCGCTGTAATGTGCCAGCAGATAGTATAGGTTGTCACCCCAGCATTGTCATTACTACAAGGCTCTCCTGAGCACAGGTAGGGACGCTGGGTGAACATATTAATTAAAAAAAGTGCGTAATTTGGTATCCTTATGTGTGATTCTACTATTCTAATAATTCTATTAGTTATATTGATGCAGGCTGCCCTCTTGTGGGAAGAGATTTCTGACTGCTGCAATAGGTGAAACAGTGATAATGGCCAGGCGACAGGCACAGAGATTAAACAGACACAAAATGTGTAGAAGCGAAGTTGGTACCTGCCAACATTTAGGACCATAACCACTCCACCACTGTTAAAAATAAAATGTTGTGGTTATAGTACTTATTGTATACTAATAACCAAGTTACTTACAGTTTTCCAAGCTGCTTCCCTCTGCATTCATCGCTGACCACAACCTCTTCTATTCTGCCTCTCTGTAAGAAAATCAGATCGTACGGCTTTTACTCTGTTCCAACAGTTGCTGTAATAGTGTAGTCAGTTAACCGGACCTCGGTGGCCACAGGAAAAATCCCTTGTCTGGCAGCCACATGGTCAGAGTTAAGTGACCATGAATAAACCAAAACAATCCATTAGCTCTAACAGCCTGGGTCCATGAGGTTCATTAAACATTTGGTGAAGAAAGAGGAGGGGAGGGGGAAGTTTCCAATGCCCCTTTTTCTTACCACCACCCCCCCACTCATCCACCGTAGGCGAGAGTAGAACTTGAATCCATTAAAGGACTACGGTCACCCACACCACGTCATCCTCCTGTTTACACAAAAACAGTCATTGGGTTTCTGCTACTCGATCACACACCCAAGGTACTACTACTTTTACCAGCAGCAATTGTATTCATTTCTGGGGTTTTCTCTATTGCTCTTTTTATTGGGATATTTTGTTTCTTATTGTCTGGAATCCATTTACATGGAACTTGTTAGGCAAGACTTATTATCCAGGTATTATACACAGTTTATAATACATAGAAACTTTATGACAAATTATAATGTGGTCTATTGTTTGAGGGTGTCTTACCAAGTAAAACTGCGGCTCGTAGGAAAGTCCTAAGGGTTTTCTGTGAGATATACTGGGTGTACGCACTATAGCTTTAGGAAAGTATAATCCTGAAATCGGACACCAGAAGGAAAGAAATACAAGGCTGTTCTTTTTATTTAAGTTACAGAACAGACTCTGCTGACAGTGTATACCTTTGCACAGCCATGTATAAATTTATGCTCCATGATGAGAGTAGCAGTAGCAACTATCTGGCCCAGGTTTAGATCTTCCACCACGACGGCATAGTAATCTCCAGACTGCTTCATGTGCTCAAACTTCTCTGAAAAGCAAATCGTTCTAATGTAATAAAAAGTACACATTAAGCCTTCAGTAATTCAATGGCTGACAACAGGAAACTGCGGCTAGAATCGAGTGGGACACTTTGGCAAATTTTAGCAACTCAGTTCTATGTTTAGTGAGCAGCCATTGCCTCAGGAGGGTGGATGAATACGTTGCCATTACTGTGCTAGGATTTGGCTGGGAGGTGACAGATTAGACAAATCAGTAATTCTAGTTAGAGCCTCCTTTGTAAATTCCCAGCTTAAAGAAATATTAGTATTTACTAGTATGGGTGGATTACAAGGCACAGCTTGGCATTCAATGTTAATCACTGACTTCATGTGCAGATCCTCCAGCTCAAATGGAGCATCTCAAGTCTAAACCCAGAAGAATCCTGGAGATAAGGGTGTCTTCACCAGAATTCACCCTTGTACATTGGCAGGTATTAGTGGGAAGAGGGAAATGTAACTCTGGTACCGGGCTTAACATTTAAAGTTCTATCTAGCCAGGCCTTCAAAGTTACTAACCACTGCAAGCAACCAGGGGTGAATTTCACTGGTCAACAGCTAGTGGTGAGTAAATGTAGCAGCAATCATAATGCATACGTCAATTACTGCCCCAATAAGCCCAAAAGATTATGATGGAGGAAACCGTGCTGGCTTAGTTTTTCCCCACACCTTTATAATGCAGTTATTTGATTTGTTTTATAGTCTGTGTACAGCGCTGCAGAACATGTTGGCGCTCTATAAAAAGGAATAAAAGAGAATTCAATACTTACTGATAAATTGCTCAGTTGTTACATCTCCAACTTTTGTCAGTTGACCGAGAACCTTGTAAAAACCTGTAATAAAAGAACGGGAGTGATATACACTGAGCCCAAGGAGACAACCATGACACCCACTTAGTCATAATCTACAGAAACTGTATTGGTTTGTATTTAAATATTTACAAAGAACAGTAATGTTTAATATAAAAATGGATTCAGCAATTCAAACATTTATTTCAAGAGCCTTTAAAAGGGCAGAGAAACATGTGATGGGCAGAGCAACCCTTTAAAGGTTTGTGGGAAATACCTCTATCCAAGTCAGATGTGCAGAGCGGCCTGAGGACAAGGCCAGCCCCAGGATGTACAGGAGAGATATCGGGACAGAAGGACACCATGTTCTGACTCCAGTCCAGCTCAGCCAGCAAACCAGGATCAAATAAGGGAGCTTCATCGAGAATCATGACGGCAATCCTGAAAAAATTGCACGGATTAGATATTGGATGCAAGAGCTGAGCCTGCATTCGACTTTTGTTCTTTACAAAGCAAATAATGGTTTAAAAAAAACAACAAACATTGCGTCAGTCACAGATCCTGCTTAATATAGAAATAGCAGTCTGTCCAACTTATTGCACATAGCAATACACATCCTAAACGTGCACAAGGAATGCTGGGACCATTCTGCCATGAACCTACAGACCTCGAACAATATTCATCCACGGATCTCTTCAGCTAGATCACTATTACATTTTGGATAAAACTTAGTCCGTCTTAGTACCAGATGGAAAATCCCAGCCTGACCCCCAACCTTCCGTACTGATCAGACATCTGGGGGTCGTAATGACACCATACAGGGATAGAAAGCAAATTCACAAACAGCTGCCTTTCCCAGTTCAGCAACTTTACACAAAAATAAAGTAATAACCTTGAATTTGCTTTGAATTCCCTGCAATTCAGTGTGTAATGAAAGCCTCAGTAAAGTGTTGTTTACACAAGAATACACACATTGGATTCTATGGAAAATAATACAGTAATGATCAGAAATATTCCATTGGTTTCTATGGTAATAGCTCAGATTTAGAATTGCCATTTACGAAGAACCGATGTCTGCTGGAAAGTAATTATTTATACACTAATGTCGCAAACGATTGGATAGTGGGCCGGGTCCAACATCTGTATATCAGATGGCGCACTATACAGATGGGGACCAGGCCCGCTATACAGATGGGACCCTGACGCGCCCGCTACACAGATGGCGCGCTATACAGATGGGGACCAGGCCCGCTATACAGATGGGACCCTGACGCGCCCGCTACACAGATGGCACGCTATACAGATGGGGACCTGGCCCGCTACACAGATGGCACGCTATACAGATGGGGACCCGGCCCGCTACACAGATGGCACGCTATACAGATGGGGACCCGGCCCGCTACACAGATGGCACGCTATACAGATGGGGACCCGGCCCGCTACACAGATGGCACGCTATACAGATGGGGACCCGGCCCGCTACACAGATGGCACGCTATACAGATGGGGACCCGGCCCGCTACACAGATGGCACGCTATACAGATGGGACCCCGATGCGCTACACAGATGGGGATGGGGGGCCAGCCCGCTACACAGATGGGGACCCCGCACGCTACACAGATGGGGACCATGGCACACTATACAGATGGGTGTAACAGATCCCCCTGTTTTGCGTTGGATCTGTAATATATGTTGTAACAGCCTCCTACCATGTTGCCTGGGAACCCCTACCTTTTGTTTTCCTGCCATCATCAACATTGCCCTGCACCTAAGAACAAAAACCGTTTCTGGCCCTTTAACTGTGTTGTGCAAAGAACGTTTGATATGGCACTTTGGTTACAGCCGAAGTAGCCACCATTAGGCAATCGAACACGTGGTGGCGGCGGCCATTTTAATGCATTCGAACTCAGTCAGTGGTGTGTGCCGTCAAATCCCTGGAACGGAAATCAGCCACACATTTGAACGAACACCGCTGACCTGTACCCTCCCCTACCCTTCGACACTGCGGCTGGAGACTAAGTCCCATTCGAAGATTCGAACACACGTTCGAATGGGACTTTGTCATCTTTTTCGTGTAAAATAGACTGCCACTTAACTAACGACCACCGCTAAAACTTAACCCCGTTTTTACTTTGACACAAGTCGAAGTGTGTTCGACTATTCGAAAGCCGCCTTCGGATGGGACTTTATTTTTCAAGGCAGAAATAGACCGACCACACAGCCTGAATCTGTGGAACTGTTTTGGGCATGCAGTCGGTCCAAAGAGACTTTTCAATATTTCTAGAACCAGTGAACGGATTTGTACGAATTGTGAATATGTTTGTCCCCAAGTTGTGTTGTTCATAGTTTATTCCTGTAGGATGAAAAATCATAAAGTTATGAAAATGCATTAAAAAAGTATAAGTTTTAGCTTGGAGATAATTGAGTAGATACAGTAAGAAACTCAATTAACTCCCAAGCAGAGGGGAGGGAATCTGTGGGTTGTAACCATTGTCTGATTGGTTAATGTCTAATTGCCTGTGGGCGTCTCCCTTGCAGGGGAGCACTGCATAAAAGGAGAGTACCTGCCATTAAACCTCAGTTCTACTTCACCCTCAATCTAGAGTCCTGTCTGTTATTGGGGGTAACCGCTATACAGCTATTCACACTAGCTCTTGTAAAAGCTTCTTCACTTGGATCACGACTGGATGCTGAGAATCCTCCTCACTGATCGGGAAAAGGACACCCTCCAGGGGTTAAAACCCCTCTGCTACACAGGGTAACCGCTACAATAGGGATCCGGCACGCCATACAGGTGCGGGGGACCCCCGCACGCTATACAGGTGGCACGCTATACAGATGGGGG